TTATAATAAGTAGGGGAGGGATTAGGGATATAATATAAGATAAGTAAATAAAAAACTTAATATATTAATAAATAAAAATTAGTAAGGAATAGCTATCTTATATAATAATAAATAAAATTACTAAAGTTATAGAGTAGTAAAGACTTAACTATTTTAGATAATAAGAATTAAAAGAGAATTTAAAGTAATAATTTAGAATAAATATCTTAAAAAAATACTAAAGAGATAGATTTTAAAGAACTATTTATAATTATAATACCTTCTTATCAGGAGTAAAAAGAATAATATAAAGATAATATATTTATATAGATAGATTAGAAAATAGTACTATACTAGAATTACTTTCCTAAGAAGAAGAAAAGGAATTATAGACTAGTAGATTTTATTAATTATAAAAGAAAATTAATTATAATAGGGTATTAAGAATTATACTAATTAACTAAAGTAATAAATAATTACTAATTAAAAGTCTAAATTAAATTTTATATTAAGAACCCTATAAGATAATACCTTAGCTAACTAGAATAAATTATTATTATTACTAGGACAAGGTACTAATTTCTTTAGATAAGCCTTAATATAATAAGTAAATATCTAAAGATCCTAAAGAACTATAAAAAGATTATAATAATTACTTTAGTTAATATAACTTACTAGCTAGGGAATATAAACTCTATTAAAGAGATTTTTATAACTAAGTAATAATAAAAAAAAATATTTAATAAGACTCCTTATTAGGGCTACTAATAAGATACTTACTAAAGTATAAAAAGAAGTTACTATAATAGAATTAATCTAAAAGAAAGAGGGAGCTAACCTAACTAAACTATTTTAAATAAGAGAGGGAGTTATTAAAGAAGAACTAGCCTAAATATAAGAAAGAGTTACTATAATAAAATAATATCTCTTAATTAGATTAATTACTACTACTATAAAATATTTTAAAGAAAGATAATACTTCTTAGCTAGAGCCTTATCTACTATAGAAGAAGAATCTTTATTATAAGAAATACTAGAAGAATCTATCTCTACTATAAGAGAAGAGCCTTTATTATAAGAAATACTAAAAGAATCTATCTTTATTATAAGAGAATTAATATTACTTTTTATACTAGACTATATATACTTATTATTATTTAAAGAATCTTTATTAGTATTATTATCTAACTCCTTATTATAATTACTAGTTACTACTACTAACTCTATACACTAATTATATAACTTATTATTATAATTAATAAGGAAACTAAGACTACTAGCTTAGAGATAGATTTATAGAAGTAAAAAAGATTAGTAACTATAGATAAGAAATATTTACTAAGAAGAATATATACTTATTAAGAGTATTAGAATCTTATATATAAAGATCCTATATATAGAATAAATATACTAATCTCTAGTTACTCTAAGTATAGTTAGCATAGGATCCCTAAAAGAATATAAATCTATTATAACTAGGAGTAGAGATACATCCCCTAAAGGAATCCTTACTTAAAAAATAATTATTATAAGCTAATATATAGTTATAAGATATATCTTACTATTAGAGAATAGTAGCTAATATATAGCCTAAATAAGTATGTTCCTTTACATCTAGCTTCCTATCCTTATTAAACTTCTAGATAATTAGGTAAATAATATCTATTATCTTTAATATACTTTTATTAGGCCTACTAAGATAATCTTCTACTACTAGTAAGAGGTAATTATTAAAGCTAAAAAAAATATTTATTAAATTTACTAAAAGTAATTATATTCTTTTAATATATAAGATAGCCTTTATTCTTCTTTTATAGGGTATTTATATTTACTAAGTATAAGAAGAATATAAGAAACTAGTATATAAAGAAAGAGATTTACTAAAAGAAAATAATAATTAATATAATAAAAAGAAAGATGCTTATAGAAGAAGAAAAAAAAAAGAAGAAGAAATATAAGAGATAAAAAGAGAATAAGTAAGATAAAGTAGAGTTATCTAAAATTAAAATAAATAATATATAACCTTACCTTACCTCTATTATAATAACTATACTAGTAACCCTCCTTACTATATATAATCCCCCTCTACTTACTAGGTGTGATCCAATACTACTTATTAAGTATAATCTAATACTACTTACTAAGTATAATTAGATACTACTTACTAAGTATAATCTAATACTACTTACTACTAAGTATAAATCTAATCCTACTTACTATATGTAATATCACTCCCTTAGACTATAAGGACCTTTTAGTAAGGAGCTAGATAACCTACTAAGGATGGGCTTTACCTTAAGTAGGGGAGGATATAATATTAGTAAATAAATATTATAAGTAGATTAATAATTATTAAGGTTAACCCTAGGTTACTAAGGTTAACCTAAGAAATCTCTATAATATCTATAACTTATCTTTTAGATAGATAGCTATTAGCTAGATATAAATATAAGATCTTACCCTAGGTAAGTAAAGAGGCATTAGCCCAGCCTATCTCTCTTTACCCCTGGTGATACTACCTTACCCACGGTAATACCAGTATATACAGAGGTTATGTAGGAGCTAGTTATAGGAGATGTTATTATATATACTACTAATATTAAGGAGGAGTATAATTACTATCTTATTATCTTTTTATCCTATATAAATAGCCTCTAATATAGTATAGAGTACTATCTCTATGCCCTAGCCCTTATAGCTACTAAAGTAGTGATTTAGTAGTAAGTAGTATATCTTAGCTAGGTAGCTAAGCTAGGCTATAATAAGGGCTTCTAGTATCATACTAATTATACTTAGTAGGATGATAGATTAATATACTTTAGGGGTAGAGTAATCTAGTTTACTAAGCTTTCTGAGTATAATAATTATAGTAATATAAAAGTATTTTAGATAGTATCTAGCTTAGATATATTAGTTAAAAAATATTATTAGAGGTATTACTACTACCTATATACTTACCTAAAGCACCTAATTTATAATTATAAGGATCTATGATCCGCGAGAGTTGGAAACTAGTGTGAAAGAAGAATGTTTGCAAATAGGTTTAAATGTAGGTATCCTTATTCAAAGAGATTATCACTAAACTTCAGAGTTCAGTGGTTGCGGGTAGGGTTATTATCTTTATATATTATATAACTATTTATATGACCTCTTATAAGGATCCTCCCTCTAGGTAGGCTTCTCTGTAAAGGTAACTTTACTATAGTATATAAAGGATCTTTATAATCCTTATAACTACCCCCCCCCTGGGAAGACCTTAGCCTCTAAGGTCTGTCTAAGGTTCCTTATTCATGATAGGGTGCATTAGTAAAAACCTTTATTTAGTAAAAACCCTCTTTATAAAGGGAAAACTATAAATAATAGAAAAGGTTTACTACCCCCTTCTTTTAATATGTTTTATTTATCTTCTTGTAAAGGCTCAGTCATAGATAGATCCCTTTAACTATAATATCTTTATTACTATTAAAATCTTCTTATACTATATTTTAGGTTTATATTACTTATTCTTATAATGCTCCTGAAAATCCCTTAATAGCCTTATTATATAAAATCTTTATAGAGTAGAGTTTAGGGCAGTAGTAGTTTTTATAGAGTATATAACCTCTTTTCTACTCTATCTTCTATATTTTCCTTAGTTTTCATTATAAAAGTTTTAGTAAGGGACCCTCTATGATTTATAATGTTTAGATAAGAGGTAATTAATATATTATAAGATATTTTTAGAAAAATATCCTTCTATACCTCCTTCCCTATATCCCTACTATTACCTGTCCCCTCTAACCTCTTAGAGGTAAGTAAAGGCTTATAAGTCTATATTATTCTTACTAATAGTCCTTATAAAAGGAGGAGGGGGTGACCTTTATACTACTACTACTATCTACTATGCTCCTCCCCCCTGCACCTACTACTACTACTGCTGCTACTGCACTGCCTATTACTAGGCCTGCTGCTGCCACCCCTACTAGGCCTGCCACTACTACCCCTATTACTACTACTACTACTACTACTACTACTACTACTACTACTACTACTACAGCTCCTCCTACCTCTCTCTCCCTTATGCCTGTGGGGGCCTTCCTCCCCCTATATAGGGTTATTTACAGCCTCTTCTTTATTAACCTAATAAGAGTATGGCCAGCCCCTGTCATAAGGGGAGCCTCTATCTTTAGGCTGCTACTACCTCTAGTAGGCACTCCTAGGGCTAACTAGGACACCCTAGCACTTATTACTAGTAGTATTAATACCTAGGCTTCTAGCCTAATAATAAAGCTACTCCTAGACGCCTAATTCCTCCCCTACTCACAGGGAAATCTAGTGGTGGTTATAGGGCTCCTACCCTAGATAGGATTATAATCCTTATTAGGCTAGGAGTAAGTATAGGTTACTAAGACCCTGCTCTACTCTATTAACTAGTATAGCTTTAGCATACCTAGTTAGCTAGGAGTCTATGCCTAGCTCTATAAGGCCATCCTTATAACTAGAACTAGAGTAAGACCTCCTACTAGCTAGGAGTATAGCACCTGCCATAACCTAAGTATAAGCTTAGTATTTATAGCATATATTTCTGGCAGGCTAGCTAGGAAGTATAATAATTATCTCTACTATAGCTATAAGAGCTACTCTTTTAAGTAGCCTTAGGTCTAGTAGCCATCTTCCTAGCCCTATAAACTATGTTATACTTATACTTAATATTAGATATCTTTATAATAGTGGGTTTAGGAGTTAGGGATTTTTATATTTATTTTATTTATTATTTTATCTTCTCCTTAATAAAGATATGTTTCCCCTCCTTATAGGGTTCCTTATATAATTCTTATAGATCTATAGGTAGTATAGCCCTTTTATAGGCTCCTAAGTATTATCTTTCTTAGTATACTCTTTCTACTAGATATAATACTCTATAAATTATCTATCCTCTTATAAGTCTAAGATTACCTCTAGGTAGTATTTATAATCCTCTTCTATAGCTTTATAGATAGGGAAGTATTCCTATAAATTTACTTCTTCTATCTTCTTATACTTGCAGAGCATAAAGATATAGAATATATTATATATCTTAAGGCCTAGTAGTAAGTTTATATAATAGGCTAGGTTATCTATATATTCTATAATTTATACTAGACTAGTATTTAACTAATCTAACTTTATAGTTAGTCTAATCTATAATATATTCTTAGTAGAGATCTAGACTTAGTCTCCTACTTAAAATATCTTTATAATATATTTCTTATTATAATATTTTTTTTAATAAGCTTAGGCCTTTACTAGAGTCTTCTTTATATACTTATAAGTATATTCTAGCTTAGTTAGTCTCTTTATAACTAACTCCTCTATAATCTTATTCTTTAGTTAGTTTATAGAGTTTATTACTATCACATGAGGGTTAATACCTATAACTATATAGAAAGATATATTCTTAATTAATACCTAGTATATATTATTATAGATAAACTCTATAATAAGGAGATAGTTAATCTAGTCTTCCTAACTAAAGTTAATATAAGCTTATAAATACTATTCTAGCACACTATTTAAATATTCTATCTAGCTATCTATCTATAGGTAGTAGGCTATGGAGAGCCCCTTATAAATTAGGAGATAAAATATAAAATCTGCCTAGAAACCTTTTATAAAGATAGAACCCTGATCTATAATAACCTTTTGTGGGATTCTGTGAAGTTAGAAGATCTTATAGATAAGAGTTATTACTAACTTCTCCTTACTAAGGATAGTTTAGATAGGTATAAAATAGCCTATCTTACTAAATTAGTCCACTACTACTAAGATGCTATTAAAGGCTTCTTATAAATTTACTATAGAAATACTCATAGGGAGATCTATAATTAGATCTATAATAATTTACATCTAGATACCTATAGAGATAGATATAGGCTCTAGTAAGCCTTACTACTTATCCTAGGTTTATTATAACTCTTAGTATACTCTATAAGCTATATAGTATTTATAGATAAAGTTCTTTACTTCTAGCTACTAAAAGTACTTTAGGACTAACTCTCTTATCTTTTATTCTATGAAGTAGCCTGTAAAGGGGTTATTATAAAGTTTTATAAAGATACTTAGTCTTAAGCTATAATAATCTAGGATATAAAGTAAGCCCTTATAATAGAGAAGCCCTTTATAGCTTATCTAATATAATAATTTATCCTTTATATAGTAAGGCTATAATAGCTTCTCTATAGCTCTAGCTTATACTATATAAATCTTCTTTATAAGTTTATCTTATATAAGTAATCTTAGAAGGAGGACTTAAATTTCTATAGAGGGGTCTCTTATATAAGAGCCTAGCCTCTAGATATTCTTATAAATACTAGCTCTCTAAGCTAGTTTTTTTTATAAGTTTACTATTCCTTAGACTAGCACTATATAAACCTTCTATTCTATATCTTCTAGGATGTTTACCTTAGTGTGTTCCCTTTTATAAAGTATTAACTAATACTATAGTATATTAAGGTCTCTACTCTCTTAATCTTAGGTATCTATCTTTATAGCCTCTCTCTTATAATTAGCCCTTTATAAGGGTCTATCCACAGGGTTCTTTTTCCCTGTGTAGAAGACTATCTTAAAGTTAAATATTATAAGTATTTATAACCACTTTACCTATCTTTATAATAGTTAGGGTATAGTCTTAAAGTAATAAAGACTATTATAATTAATAATAACTTTTATAACTTTCTATAAACCCTCTAGGTAATAGCACTACTCCCTAAAGGATTCTACTATTATAAGGAGTTTCTAATTATAAATACTATAGTTCTTCTCTACTAGCTATATCTTCTATAAGAAGAAGGCTACTAGCTACTAATAACCCTTCTTACTTAGCTATAATAGTATCCTATAGATAATATACCCTAATATATCTATTTCTATTTATAAGTAATACTTTTTATAAAAGTAAGTAAGTACTACTTACTCTATAAATACTTTCTTTAATCTATTAAAGATATTTACTACTTTAGGGATTAAGAACTCCTTCCCTAGAATCCTCTTCTTCTTCCCTAGGCTAGGTTTTTATAGGAGATCTAAGAGATATACTAAAAGATATAAATACCCCTTAATAAATCTTCTATACTAGTTTATAAAACCTAGAAACACTAGGATCTCCTTTATAGATTCTAGTTATAGCTATTCTATAATAGTATTAATCTATAAAGGTTCTATTTCTAGGCCTTCTAGTATAATTATATAGCCTAAGAAGTTAATTCTCTTTATTATAAAGAGATACTTACTTAGTTTTATAAATAGTCCTACCTATTAGAGCTAGGCTATTATAAAGCAGATATACTTATAGTAATCCTTCTTATCTTATAAGAATACTATAATATCATTAATATAGACTACTATAAAGATGTCTAGATAGTTACAGAATAACTAGTTTATAAAGCTCTAGAATATTACAGGAGTATTAGTAAGCCTAAAAGATATAACTAAATACTTAAATAACCTATACTTTATATAAAAGGCTATTTTCTACTCCTGCTTCTTTATAATCCTAATCCTATAGTAGGTCTTATAAAGATCTAGCTATATAAAAATCCTTCCTTCTATAAGCCTCTTAATAGTCTCTAGAATAAGGGGAAGTAGATAATAATTCTTTAGGGTAATATAATTTAGACTATAATAATTAATATATAGCTAGAGGATGTTATCTTTCTTCTTTATAAAGAGGACTAGTATCTTTACTACTAACTTTAACTTCTAGATCTACTCTTTTATAAGTATTATCTAAAGATACTTATAAAGTACTACTAGCTCTGCTAGAGAGGAGTTATAAAGAGGTCTAAAGAATAGTTACTTCTCTTTCTCTAGATCTATCTTTAGATCTATATCTTTATAGTATAGTAGTAACTCCTAGGCCTTCTTCTCTAAGAAGACTATATAAAAGTTTATAAGCTATTCTAGTATAAGATCCTTACTCTCTACTATCTCTTATAGGGCTACTATAACTTATACTACTATAACTATTATATCTTCTACTTCTGTAAACTCTTCTACTAAAACTAGGTGAATTTATAGAGCTAACTCTCTACTAAAGATTACCTAATCTTCTCTCTAGAGAGTTATAAAATTATACTACTTTAACTATAGCATCCCTAAGATAATATAGTTTATATCTAGAAATACTACTATAAGCTCTATAAAGAGTTACTCTATTTCTTTACTATCCTTAACTAGGATAGTAGCTTCTACTACTTTTTTATTTCTTATCTCTTATAAGGTTAATATCTTTATAAAGATCTACTATAGTAGGGTATACTAGTTATTTTCCTTAGTTAGCATTACTAGGATAAGATTAACTAAGCTTTTATTAATAATTAATACTTATAAGACTAGTCCCTATCCCTTCTCTCCTATCTAAGCCTAAAGGAATATACTTAGGTAGGAGAGTAAGGGCCTATAATACTCTCTATCTTACTCTTTAGTAGTAATAGTTATAACTAGTTATTTAGTCTTTATAGGACCCTCCTACTTAGGCTTACTCTAGTAGTATCTTATAATATACTCTTTCTTATTATAATTAAAATAGACTTATAAGGTACTAGAAGTATAAGGTAGTAGATCTTATCTCTTTATAACTAAAATAGTTATAATAAGCCCTATTCTCTCTATCTTCTTAGTAATAATATAGTCTATAAGAGGCTTCCCTAAGTTTCTAAGGCCTTAATAATTCTTATCTTTATATAAGGGGTCCTAATAAGTATTCTACTTAATACTTAGATATAATCTTATAAGTAGAGAGACTATTTCTTTCTTAGATTTTAGGAATTCTAAATATTTATAGATCTTCTGCTTAAATACTACAGAGAAGGATTTAAAGAAGAGATATAACTATACTTTCTTTATATTCTTTATATTATCCCTAATTTTAACCTATTATTTATACTACCTCTATTAGTATATATAGTCTGTCTCTTTCTTATAGGGCCTTATCTAAAATATCTATAACTATGCTTTCTACTTATAATTCTCTAGATTACCTAGCTATAATTCTAGGAAAGTATAGAGGCCTTTCTATCCCTAGTTATAGAAGTCCTTAGAAATATTACTCTACTAAAGGTTAGAGAGGATATAATCTAAATAGACTACTATAATCTTAATATACTTCTTCT